CTTGGGGTCCGGCTGTTGGGAAGAAGAAGCTCTTGGAGCGCCCGACTAAAAAAGAAGAAAAGAGTCAGTATATGCATAAACACAACTCCAAAAAGAGGGTGAAAGGTTCGAAGCCCACCAAGGGTGCCCCCTTGTTGGGGGAGTCGGTTGAAGACTGTTGCATGATGGAGGCCCGCAACATGGCCGCCGCAGTCTTGGAGGCGGTAATTTTGCTCATGGCGTCCGCTGCAAAAACAAATAGCAAAGTTAATAAAAGTCATAACAAGAAATGCACGGAACAACAGAGTATTCGACAGGCCGGCTACCTCTTGAGCACCGACTGCTGAGGCCACAGGCGGCCAAAAAGTACTCGTCGTAGAGCCATTTGAAGCTCGGGACGCAGTGCAGGGGTACTTGCTCTCGTACCCCTGAAGAAGAGTTCACCTTCGACTCTACTTTGAAGAGTCCTTTATCTAGGATCTCTTTCTTAGCCTTGGGGGAACAGGCGGCATGCTGCGGCCGCCTGCAAGAAGGGGCGGATTCCTGTTCCACCTGTTGAAGCGCTTGTTCAGCTCTGTGTCTGAACTCTCAATGATAAGGAAGGTGCTCCGCCAGTCCTTCCATTTGTTTGCTTTACCTCTCGTCATGAGGTAGCCCCTGTGGCTCGTCAATTGATACCAGTCGGTACCGCCTGCCTTAGGGGTCCGGCTGAGGTAGTTCATGTGGGCGAAAGCCTCGAAGTTCGGCTCCACCCCGTGCAGTTCGCACCTGGCCACATAGCCGAACACGTTGACCCAGGAGTTCGGGGATAACTGCCATAACCCCAACTCATACCCATCCAAGATCCGTTGAACAGCCGGATGTAGTGGGAAGCGCAGCCCAGCCTTGATGGCCGCCTCGTAGCAGCCAAAGCAGGCGCCATCATAACTGGTACCAGCCGGCCAGACGACTATGTCTTCTGGATCCGGCACAAACACTAAAAAGCCGGGGCCCATTGTGTGGTTTGCGATAAAGCTCTCCACTTTCTCTTGCATGGCCGTGATCCGGCCCCGAGGTACCGTGCAGTAGTAGGGGGTATTTTGCTCTCGGTGAGAGGCGGATGGCTCCGCCCAATCGTCCCCCTTCTCAACTGCGTGAGAAAGCCTCGCCTCTTGTAGGCGACTGTTTTTCTTTTCTGTGTCCAGAGAAGCATGGCCAGAAGAGCTAGACTCGGATTCGTCCTCTGACGAGTCCGAAGAGGACGACTCCTCCCCTCTCCCGGAGGGGCCGCCTCCTCCCCTTTAAAAGGAGCAGGAGAGAATGAAGAATTGTCATCTGTAAAATGGGAAGGGGTCACTTTGACTCCTCCCTCAGAACTGCCGGCTTTCAAGCCGCTTTGTTTCACTTCCACATCTGGCGCCTGGTCAGATGTTTCACTAATCGGCACCCTGTGGGAGGAGCCGTCTGAGTTTGAGATCCTGGCAGTCTTTTTTGTTCTGGCCATCATGCTTTGCATAGACACAGATACAGTCGGACTTTGTATAAAAGGGCAAAGATGGGTCCAGAAAAGGGCAGGCGGCACTCCTAGTCCTAGATTCAGCCGTCCCCGGTGACCGGCTAATCAATAACCTAGGTCGTGTCGTGTGTTTCCGTGGTGCCATTTCAAAAAAGAATAAAGTAAAGAGAAAATTAAGAGTAAGAGAACTGACGGTTACCTGAACGAGTGACGATTGATGAAGTTCTGAAAATCCTTTGCAGTCGGCTTGTCAGAGCAGGCGGTAGGCAGAAAGGGTCCAAAATGTCAGAGCAAGTTCAGGGGTCTGAATGTTCTCTCACAAAGTTTTCAAGTGTGAAAATGACCGAAGTCAACACTCCTTTATATAGGCGAAGTGAGAAGGCGAAGGGTCACTTCCAGAATTCAAAATTTTGGCGGGAGAATCTCTCGGCATCTCGCCGAGTGACACCTGTAGCAGGCCGTCTCCTGTTACAGGGCGACACCTGTCACAGGTAACACGTGACCAGTCACGTGCCACCTGTGAGGGGCAAATGATTAGGGGATTTTGCTCCCACCAATGGGAATGCGCCACGTGGGCCAATCAGGTCCTGCCAAGTGTCCCCCAGTTGGACCTCAGGGCTTGCCACGTGGCACACGCTTATTCGTCCACCCTGGACTTATTATGTCATGACACGTGACATACTCCATGCCTAATGGAGAAGCCGGTCACTTAGGCCCAACTTCCGAGGGAAGCCCAATCAGCCCAAGGTTAACCTAAACCTAGATTGGCACGTTTCCCGAGGTTATAAATACCTCCCTTAATCCTCATTAAGGGAGAGGACGCAGATTACACACATTAAACACTCTCACCTAGAGAGACCCAATCACTTTAATTCCGCATTAATTACTCCTTAATCAAGTACTAACTTGACCGTCGAAGGCGGATCTCCAATCATCCGGAGCATCCGTTTGTTTTGCAGGTACAGGCGTCCGGTTCCAGTCTCGGAATTGTAACTCTCCCGCAGGACATCAGAAAACCCCGAAACAACAGGGGCCACGCCTTTTACCACCTACAGACCAGATTTTCAAAGGAAAGATAAGCATGCTATGGCCACATAGTAATTAAGAGTAACAACGAGATACAAAGCAACAGACTACGTTGCAGATACGTTGAATGAGTTGCCTTCTTCATTAGATCTTTACACAATAGACTCGGTTAAATGGAGGATTTGGTATTCCTACACATATAAATTTCTGCTGTAGATCATGCCCTTAATACCAAAATAAAGTAAGTTGGATATATAAAATAGAAGAAACCTGAATCTATAAAATAACCAGGTTAAAATTAAGATGTTAGGGAAATCCGAAAATGTTAAATCATCCTTTTCTAATATAAGGAAAAAAAATAAGAGTAGCTCTCCCCTCCCTCCTTTGATATTCGTCTACCTATCTTCCTATTACCTGTATTCCATGTTTTTTTCATTTCTTAGGAAGTATAATACGAGCTACGTCCTCTCCCCACCATCCCCACTCCCCCCTCCCCCCCTCTCTTCTTTTGCTCCATTTCCCTCTTTCTTTCTTACATTAGTTTTTAATGGATTGTATATTTAAATCTCTTCATAATTGATTGTAATAGATTTTTTTTTTCCAAATATAAAACAAACTATACTCTATTTATTTATCTTTCTTAACCTATGCATAGTCACTTTTTTTTTTCTCTACTCACTCATAATTTGTGATAAAAAGTCTCTTCTTCATACTCCCTCCTTCCCCCCACTCTATTACTCAACTTTCCTCCCTCTCTCCCCCTTCGTTTAAGGATATGCAATAATGACAAACAGCAGGCCTCAAAGATACTTACAGATGACCATGTCATTTTTAGAATATGATCAATCTTTGAAAGCAAAACAAGTCTTAGGGCTAAAAATGCAACTAAGAGTAGGACCAATAGAATAGCAGCATAACTTTTCAGCCAAACTTACCCCGCAATGTATCTTACCAAGTGTTTTGCTTATATTAAGTTCGCCATCTGCAGTAAAAGCTGACTACCATTTCCTTACACTTTGAAAAAGAAAATACTCACTCTCTCTCCCCAACCCTCCCTTTCTCCTCTCCCCCAGGGCTTTTTATCTCTTTTAGCTTTTCTTCTTATCTCTTCTTCCTTCATCGTTGTTGTCTATACTCTCTTATATTTCTCCTTCTCCCACTCTTGTTTCCCTTTTCCTATCTTTCCCTTGGTTTTTCCCACCTTCGTGTTCCTTCTTCCACCCACCCACCCATCTACTCTTCTGTTCTTTTTTATAATCTAAACATTCTAGTAAGCCTTTTACCTATTGCCCCCTCTTCCCACCATTAATTACCCTCTTTAATAAGAATTTCTTAAGTGATCTTTATCTTTTACCCTATTTCACTTTTGATGTGGTCTTTTAAAAGTGCTCTCTTTTTCTCTTATTTACTTGCTATTTATATTTCTCTTTCTCCTTTTTTAAATTCGCTAAGCTTATAATCAATCATACTTGCATATCCCTAATTATAACCTCCACCTCTCTCTTAGTCACCTTTCATGTTTTTTAGAGTTATATAAAAAAGTTTATAAAAGAGTACTTTATTTCTTACAACTAATTTAAAGTGCTCTATTATATTATATCTCGAATTTTCCTTTATCTCTATTATATCTCTTTTTCTCTTCCTTTTCCCATACACGCATTCTCTCTCGTTCTCTCCTTGTTGTTCAAACTTTTTTTCCTATACCTTTTCCTCAATTCCTCTTTTTTTTTTCCTTCTTTTGATGAGGCTTGTCCAACTAAGCCCCCCTCCCAAATCCTTTTTCTCTCTATATAATTTTCTTTTATGGTTTATGTTCGTCTAAGAAAGTCTTTTTCATTTTTGCTTATTTCTTAGTCTTATACCTTAAAAAGATCTCTTATAACCCCCGTATCTTCCTTACCTAATATTGTCTCCTTCGCTTCATTCTTTCCTTTTCTCTCCTCTTCACTGTTTTTTTCGCCAAATTCTAATCCAACTTTTACGACTTATAGAGAGTCATTCGTACATGATTTTGGATTTCCATCAAATAAAATACACTCTAATAATAATTCTTTCTAAGAAAGACTTGATTTCTTCTCCTCTATTTACTTTTACAATGTAATAGCATTTTTATAAAATCCCTAAACATTTTTAAAGAAATACTTACCTTACGAAGATAATATACAATATATTTACAAAATCCGTAAACATTTTTTTTTGTCACCATGCCTCTTAGTCATTTTAAAATGCTAAAATTATAAAGTCAATTCATGTTAGCTTCCCCTTTGACTTAAAGTTCTTTTTATCTCATCTTCATTCCCTCATCGTTTCTGAGTACATTTTAAAGTTAACTTTGTTGTTACTATTGTTGCTACTGCAAATGCTCTTTAAAGTTAACTTTGTTGTTGTTACTTGTATCTAATACAAATATGCATAGTAAACACAGATACATGTACAAGAACATGAATTAAAACTGCAGCATAAGGTGGAACCCAATTTTCCAAGGTTGGTGCAATCAGAATAAGAAAATATAAAAGCAAAGACTTTGATTACAGTCTGGTAATTTTAGCAGTACGTTATACATCAAGCAATCACCATTCTTCCTTCTGTGAATATTCATGTTGAGAAAATTTGAGAAGTCACTGTTGCTCTTCTATGCCTGCACCAGTCTTGCTGCCGCAAAGAAGCAACATAATGGCAGAACAAGGACAATCCTGCAGAGTCTACATCCTCTACAATAACATAATTCTGAGCTTTTAGTAAAAGAAATTGGTACATGGTCCAAAATTTGTATAACAAATGCAAACTTATGAGAATAGCTGGATATAGGCAATATGCCAATCCTACCCTAATATAAGCTCCTCCAATTCATCAACCACCATCTTGTAGCAGATGTAGTTTTCATCCTAGATAAATGGCAAATACATAATCATGTATTAGGTTTAAAAAACATAGGAAAATTATTCGTAAATCCTAATTATTAACAAACAATTTAGAATTTACTCACTAATTACAATCACACATACCACTTGAAAGAAGCATATCTAAATTTCTAAATTCAAAAGTCAATAATTCTAAATAAGATCAATGTCATTTTCCCTTCACTGCCAACCTAAAAGTAGATCTACTTAAATCCTTTAAATCTAAAAAAAGATTAAAGTACAATTGGATCCATTTATACAGCCAATTTCACCTGTTTCTCAACGTAGATCTCAAAAACAGAAAAACAATGATAACCTTATTCCCATCCCCCTTCCCCTCCACCAATTCTTACTACACCTGGAAATTTTTTGCTTTTTTATGAGATTGGCTTAAACATGAGTTGGTGTGGGTTATTTAAGCAAATTTATAGATTAGATGTCATGATTCTGATGAAGCTGCTGGGTACAAACAGAGTATTCTCTGGGCCAAATCAATCATACGTAGTAAATTCAGTGCACTTTAACAAACTATGCAGTATCTGATAGAGTGATAGTGTTAACACTATTTTTCTAGGATAGGTGCACAATTACCCCCTCGATGAATCCCTATCTCAAGGTGGTCTGTGGAAGGTGGCTGATGAGGAATAATATTCAGGGGAAGGGGGAAAGGAGTTTTGAACCCCGGACTGAAATGTTATATACACCCGAGTGCAAGATGCACCAAGGTTATTTTTTTTGCAAAAAATACGTTAGGTGTACCGTGCACCTGGGTGTATATAACAACCTTTGACCCAAGACGACCTAAGTTGTGAACTTATGGAAGCTAAGGGGTTCAACCATTTGATCTCTACTCAATTCTCTAGTTTAATAGTTTAACACTACACTCCAGGAAATTGCTAGCACTAATAAACCAGATATTCATAAATCAATCCAGATCCAGAGTTCATGTGTATACATATAATAGCAGAAACAATGCAACATATATACTTGACATCCAAAGTATGAAACAGAATCAGCATCACCAGGGCAATAATAACGGACAAATATACTTCTCTTTTTTATACGTGCTTATGAATTGTTGTTTTTTTTTTGCTCTTCTGACATGCTTTTCCACTCTTCACCAATGATCTTTGATGCCTAGCCTATCAATCACATACTATGCCATATAAACACTACTCACCACTCACTTTAAAGTTTAAACTATTATCAGCCATGTTGTCAACATATACATAAATTCTCAAGTCAACGTAAAGCTAATTTACGTCACCAATCAATAAAGTATGAGTAATTGTTTTCCCCAATTTCCCATTAATACTCCCATCAAAATAGAAAAACTCAAATAAAAATTAAACCTGGATGATCCAAGTAATCAAAAGGGAACCAGAAAACTATCGGAATATAGTGACTACTTTTGGATCAAATTTCACAACTAAATTCAATTTTATTTCCCCTCTAAACGGAAATTCAACAACACCCATCGACACAACTTCAGTCTAAATGCATTAATAAATAAAACCAAATCCCAAAATTCAAAAATAAACACCCAAAAAATATACATGAGATTATGAGAAATGGACTAAACATAAATAATCAAGGAAATATACCAGTCAAAGAATTAAAACCTCCTGTCAAGAGTGCCCATGCTAGGCAGCTTGTCGAAACTGAGGGAGTCCTCTAAACTTGACATACTGAAAGTAATAAATTTGGCACGGGAAAAAACTAAAAAAAAATTAGCAAACTACTCCATCAATACTTCAATAAATCCATAAACAATTTTAGCATCTTGTCTATAAGCTACAAACCGTCACATACCAAATTTTTAAAGAGGTGCATTAAACGGAAGAAATCAATGAGTCACTTCATCACCCAATATTGTAAATCTATAACTGCATTTCTATAAGCTTGTTAAGAAATAGATGAGTCAAGTACTACCTATACTGCACACTCCATGTGCATGAACCTACACAACACTCTTCAATCTGCCTGTTTTTGTTTGAGAGTTTATTAGATCCTAGGAATATGATCAGATTGCTTGCACTATTTTATTCACACAAGATACAAATCAAGTGGTTACCTCATAAGCCACTTTAATAGAAAAGGAGAAGCTTGGAAGCCGACAATCTTAAATATGCTCAACCCATTAAAGCTACACACAGTTCAAAATCAAGCAAAATTTGAAACTAAGAAAAGAAAAAAAATTGCATTTAGGTCTTCACTAATTATAACTATTAATTCAATAATCCAACGTAGAATTACAAATGGTATTTGACACAACATCCAATTTAGATGCCTATTAGAGCATGAACCATTATCAGGTCTCTTCATCCCAACAAATCACCCGATCAACAAAGCTAGTATAACCAACCAGAACCGCACACAATGATTGCCACTCAATTTACTCAAAATTAATAAATGAAATAATTATATAAATAAATAAAGCAAGAAGTCAAGAATAGTTTACATACCAAGACCACTCTCAAGATCTTTCTCATCTTCCCGTGGTGCCTCATGAGTGAGTTGACCTTCTAGATCCACAAAATCTGGATTCAGTCCATGCCTTGTAGATGATCCTGTAGATCCAAATAATCAGAAGCAAGACTTACAGCATTATTTAGAATTTTTTTTTTGACAGAAGCATTATTTAGAATTGAAATAACTAAATAAGCCATCATACCTTAAATATAACACCAAACTTGAAATCTAGCCTTTTCAATGAAAAACAGACCTTCAATTCAATTAGAAATTGTACCCTCTAATGGTAATCTATTTATATTTAGGTATGAATTTAGATTTAGAGTTTTAGATCTATTCCATCAGTTAAATTCATGATCTATTACATGGATTTTCTCCATCAAAAAATAAAAACTGCATATTACGATACACCACTCTCTTATGATTATAAATACCACAATAAACAAATGCAAATCAAATATCATACCTGAACAATAACAAAAACAACAGTACAAGTAAAAGCTGCAAAACCCCAAAACAAAATGAATTTTCTTGGCAGGTATACTTAATTTTACTTGCCTAGCGTTTCTTAAACATGCAAGTAGTGAGAATAAAGTTGCAAGATTTAAGCATAATGCCGGTTTATTACAGACAGAACATCCACCAACTAAATAAAACATGTTAAGCCCAAAAATACACTTTACGAACCCAATCAAGCTCACTTAACGAATTCAAGCAGCAAACGAAACCAATCAAACTCACCTAACATCCCATGCAAAAAACAATTAAACCAACAGGACACCAAGATTCAAAAGCAAAACAAAATTACCCAAATTCACTCCATAAAAAACACATAACTGCTATAAAAATCAATCATAAAAATTAGGAAAAAATCAATCAAAAAAGAGGAGAGAGAAAGAGGAACCAAACCATATTTGCGAAGACGATGGACGACGGAACTCTTGTGCATAGCAGCCAAGACATTCTTTTGAATTGAGCCGTGCAATGAAAGCAGCCATTAAAAAGCAGAGGTGATTACAGGCTTCACACTTCACTTTAGAAACACTTATATGCAGACCTATTTAAAAATTGAAGCTGTGTCATCTCACCATGCGTGATGTTCTGTCAAAAACAGCATGATGCATCAGTATCCCAGCAGCAACAGAAACATTAAAAGAATCAACCATGCCGTTCATAGGAATACTGCAGTGCAAGTCTGAAAACTCTAAAGCTTCTTCACTAATTCCCCTGTAAGAATGCATATATTATCAGCATTCTTTTTTCCATAATCATCCCCCAAGCCATTCACAAATGCCAAGTGATGAAGTGTTCACATAACCAAATCATTTTTAAGCCAGCATTTAATTTCTTTTTCCCCCTCTGACACAAAACGAAGATAAATACAGTAAACTAAGAAAAATCAAGATAATTTATCATAGATTCAGAGTATAAATTAGGAAGCTCTAGAGTCTAGAGTTGCAAGCTGATACGAATATCAGACGTATGATCAATTGCAGCCCTTACATCGATTAACAGTTTTCATATTATTGCACACACAATGGATATTACATTCTACTGCTAAATCTAAAGCAAGCAATACTCAAGTTTAATAGATTATAATAAGTAAATTAACTATAAAGCACAAGCCTAAATTTTAGGAAAAGAGTTTTAAGATGTGAAAATCCATGAGACATGCAACCGGAAATCTGCAAGGGATACCCAATTATTGGAAATTCTACCATATGAAGGCCACACACTTTAAACTCTACAACTTTACAGTACATACTACATACTCAAGAGCTAGGCTTTGATCCCATTCGCCTTGAGGGTATTAAAAGCTTTGTTTTTTAACCTCAAAGAAGTTTAAGAAAAAAACAGCTCGGACAGAGCAATAGGTTCAGATAAGGGCCACCAGGTCTATTTTGCACACTATAAATAAGTTCAACTAATTCTTTTTTTTTTTTTTTTTTTCTTTGAATAGAAGTTCAACTTCAGAAAGCTCAAATATATACATTTAAACTCTAACAAGGGGAATTTAGATGAGAACTGCAATGCCAAAGTAACATCACCACTTGATCAAATGGGCTATAACAATTTTGTTGAGGGAGAGAAGGAATTAAGTAACCACCAAATTAAATTTTGAGGATAATAATGAAGATCAGTAAAGACAAGAGCAAGTGAAGCATCTATGTACTCCTTTCCCTATAATTTCAAGTAATATTCCAATTCTAAGGGTGTCGAATATCCTATTGGATTTTAAGACATAAATCTTTCGCCCTTGAAAAGAAATACCCTCAATTACACTATAAAAAGACTTTAACAAACAGAAAGTGACATGAATATGCCTCACAATTCTTTTCACAGTGTAATAGTAATTCACAGACATAAAATAACAGGTAAGACTGTGGGAGAAAATAATGTTATCATGCTTAATCGGTAATAAATAGGCATAATTTGAAACATTGGAAGAAATGAATAAAACAAAATTAAATTAACTATACGAAGCTGAAGAACAACAATTACCTGTTCTCGTTCCCAACAACAATGGCAGTTGGGCATGACCAATCCATGTCATATATAGAAACCTGATTGTAATGGAGGATATTACATAAAGCACTACTAAATCAAAGAGTAATCCACAATATGCAACAGAAAGATGACTGAGAGGCACAGAGGAGATCCTGTAAAATAAGAGCTAAAATAAAATTTCAAGAAGTCTGATTATTACTGTATCTATTCCGAGATGTGTAGTGGCTATTCTGTAACCACGTGACTTCAGAACATTAAAGCAATCTCGAGTAGAGTTCCAGACCTCTAAATCTAGCCACTTTTCAGAACCCATGCTGACATGTCGATTATCTCTAAACCTGTGTTCACAATCAGAAACCGTAATTAACAATTTCAGTCAAAGGTGTAAGTGTTTTGGAATCACTTAGGATTCTGTATATGGGTGCTCTAAAGCGCCAAAAAATCTAATTATTGCCATTGTTGAAACTCAAAACCTCCGATGTTACACCTTCAACATCAATTGCATGCTCTTATATTTGTCATATTAATCAAATCAACTACAACTCCTCCCAAAATCAACAGACTAATATACATAACCCAATTGCATGTTTTTTTTTTTTTTTTTTTTTTTTTTTTTTTTGCGTTCAAAAATTTCTGTTTTACTTGATCTAACGAAATAATCTAATTGAATTTTATTAGTCAGAAACCTCAATTGCAACTATCTTATATTTCCTCATTTCGTCTCAACTCTCAAGCATGCAAAATTGCAAACAGCCGCCAAAAGATCTAATTATCGCCATTGTTAAACCTCATCCTCCACTGTTAGACCTCCAACATCAATTGCATGCTCTTATATTATATTACACTTTTTAATCTAAATTAGCTCAACCAAATGTAAAAAGAAAACCTAAATTTTATTTGATAGAGTTTGTCAATTGTGAATTCAGAATTAGTACCTTCACAGCAGATACACCCATCTCACTGACACCTTCAAAACCTGAGTGATTGTCTACAAGAGTACCCAGAAATGACCCTGGAGAAACAATCGAAATCAGTAAAATTCAGAGAGAAACAATCGAAATCAGTAAAATTCAAAACTCAAATAATAAACCCAAAAAATTAAACAAATATACACTAAATCACCTCATATAAGCTTCAATGGCGAACAAAAAGAAGAAAACCAAAATAAAAGAAGCAAGTACGAAGAGAGAATCAAATCAAAATTAAAAATCAAAATTAAAAATCAAAATAGAGGAGGAGAGAGAAAGAGAGTAGGAAGAGGGTGAGCCAAATGAGTGATGGTGAGGAAAAAACGGGAAAGCAACAACAGCAAAAGACAACGGGTGGCAAAACCGTGAAACAAACCCCAGAAGAAGGGTAGAATCGTCCGCGCAGTCATACTGTTCATAAGGAACAGTGCCGGTGGTCTACTGACTTTTAAAGAGTTATAGATTATAGATGATATTATGTTGCTGTATATAGACTAGTATGACCCATATATTCTAAATATGATCTGCGCATCGTGATGTAATTTTGTAATCTAAACACTGTCTGTGTACTGTTAAGTATTTTTGTAACTTTTTATTTAAAGTAAATAGATTAGTTATTTAAATAGTTCAATCTAAAGAAGTCCATGAAGTGAAGGAGCAAGGTGGATGGAGATCCATGAAGGTTCAAGTGGGAGCATTTTAATTCTAGTTTTCTTAGAACTAAGGGGCCATACTATGTCATGCTTTATTTTATGCATTAGTAGATTATACATGCTAGATTTTATTTATGTTGATTGATGATGTGCTAGAGTTCACTAAATAATCACAACATAATAAATATAGGTCTTGGTAATATTGAGATTGCTTTTCCAATTAAAGACCCAACAACCCTTTGATAATTAATGATAGGTCATGCCAAAGCTTGGTGTCATTTTTATAACTTAGGTGACTTGGGGTAAATCAAGTTTTACAATTTTAATTGGTTATGTTGAACAAGGTTACCTAAAGAATTTTGTTTCGGGGGTTTTTTAGAATCCCTCGGGATACTGGTCTTGAATATAGTCGGGCGGTCGCGGATACCTGCAAAATAACGAATATTCCGGTTGACGGAATATTCGCCTACAACGATTAAGTTAGTGATCGGAAAACGAAATAATTAAGAGAAAGAAAGTAGAGAGAAGTTGGAGCTATTTAATGCTCTTTTTATGATATGTCTCAATCCACCCCTCCCATCAGAAATGATTGGGGTATTTATAGGGTGGGAAAGTGTACCCCTCTAGGGTTAGTGACCTAGAATGGCGTGCCCTGATTAGCGACGCAATTAGGTGAGGGCACGTCTCCAAAGGGAGTGTCGTTTTGCGGCTTTGTCTGGATTTGGGCCTCCTGATGTAAGGAGGCCCCTTTTATCTCATTTCAGGTGTTCTTTATGTTTGATACGTGTCATCTCCTATAGGGACACATGTCGCCCGTTAATTAGGCCACGTGTCACTATAGAATTGAACCACGTGTTGGGGTAATTTTTACCCTAAACATTTTCCCCTCAAAGGGGGTGACTCGTACCTTACGGGTTGCCTCCTCTGATCTTTTACTCGTCCGGATACGTTCGAGTACTTAGGCTTCTTAAGTATTTATCATTAATAGGGGACGGACAGTATCGTCCGTCCATCAAAGGGATTTCTCTTTTGGGCTGGCTGCCTTGTTCGGTCCGCCTGATTTCATTAGTGGACTCTGAGTCTTAAAATTGGGCGGACAGGTTATGCCGACTTGCTTTAAGGAAGACAACTATCATCCGTATTTTCCGAAACGACGGTTTGAATTCCGCTGACCTGGCCGTCTATTTTGACGCACCGTTAGTGTGTGTACCTCTTCTCGTCTGAAATGACGGAGCGATTTTTTAACTGTTCAACTTCTAGGTTAACCTTTTTTCAAAAGTTACTGTTTAAACTTTTTGGCGGAAAATATGGTGTTACCATTTTCCCTCATAAATTTAGCCTATAAATAGGACTTGTTTGACTTCATTTTGGTACTTTGGAAATTTGAGTATTCTAGAGAGAAGTTAGAGCTTTTAGAGAGAGAAAGTGACATTTCTTCCCTAATCTTCGAGAGCTCCGCCGTGTTCTTTGAGTTTGCCGGTCGAGTTTTTGAGTTTTCCGGTCAACCTTCAAGACTTTCAAAGACTTCTCAAAGTTTTCTACACGTACAGAGGTAACCGCCTGCTCTTTTTACTTCTTCCTTTTTTTCCTTTACTTGTTTTATTTTAATAAACACGAACTGGCATAATACTCGGCTTCGTCCGTTTCTCCTCATGAGGTTGGTCGTTCGCCTGGGACTGAGGAGTCTAGAGTGGACGGGGACGAGTCCTCCTCTCTATGGAGTGGGTCCATTTCTAGTGCGTACCAATTCACCCCCACCTATTCTTCTCTGTCCTTACAGTCGAACATGGCACGTACGAGACAAACGTACGAAAAAGATGCCGCAAGAAATCCAAACGGCAGTCTGGTATACCCTTTAGAACCCTACGATCCGATTAATACGGACGAGGAAACTACAAACACCACTGCTAGTGGTAGTGCATGCTCCATGGTGGAGGTGACCGCCTCCTTTGAAGAAGGCCAAAATCGACAAGGCACTTCTTCTAGAGATGCGTTCGGGCGAAATCCGGAACAACCCCAAGCCCAATATACTAGTTCGGTCCTGATGCCGTCCGAGCTGCTTTCTTCTTAGAGGCATCCTTCTTCATTTCCGGTGGATGCTATGGCTTTTGTCCAAAATCTACCACAACCCCCAATTCAAACTACTAGGTCGGCCAAGCCTAGGACTGACATTCACATTGCTGAACCGGCCGACCTGCCCCCTCGTAGCGCTCCTCCTTCTGGAAACCAGGTGGACGCTGGAGGGAAGGAATGATAAGGGCAAAATGCACTTGGTGCCTGGAGGCACCGTTGTTTCTGAAGGCGGCCAAGGCTCCAAGGGACGGAGCTCGACCGGGGCTGCTGAATTGGACACAATATTGTCCTCTGAATTTGGGGCCGGTCCCCAAGCTGCTGAAGGAGAGGCTGAGAACCCGGACGCCGATCAGGCGGCCGAGGAGCCTAACGCTGAAAATTTTAAAGACCCGTATGCCTGTATGGTGGGCGATACTGCCTTAACCTTTCTTCACTTGAACTTTGAGGAGTTCAAGGAATTCCTCTGCCTGGGAGAAGGCTACAATCTTGTGGCGCCCACTCGCTCTTATTCGGTGGCCACCTGAGAGAGCAAGCGGCAGTAGAGGAAATGTTTTAGCGTGTACTTAGCTGCCCTAGAAGTGGACCTTCGCTTCCCCTTTCACCCGTTTGTCCATGAGCTCCTGGACGAGTATAACATTGCTTTCTTCCAGCTGGTTAAACATTTTTGGCTATCTGGTGACGTGCCTTCGGCAAGGCTTCAAGCCGGACGTCCCAGCTTTTTGTGAGATGCATTCCATAGTCCGCCTGGATGCTTGCACAAACGGCTGGTTTATTCTAAGCACCCAGAAAGATTATCTGGTGGTGATGGATAGGCTTCCAAGTGGCGAGACTAGAAGCATCGATTCTACCGCATCAAGACAAGTGACGAAAAGTTTAACTTGCGAATGAATCGGTTTAATGCCAATCCGATTTAGCTCGGTCGCGGGTAGCACATACCTAGCAAGCCGCCTGTCCATCCTGATTACATGCACCAACTGGACTACTTCGGAGTCAGGAAGGTAGTTAGGGAGGGAAAGGCGATGGGCGTGCCGCTCAACTGGATCCGTTGGTCGCGTGGCTTAAGAACCTAGTGTTCATGTCAGCCTGTGGCCTATACACGAACTACCCTCAAGGTGGAACCTTGTGACTTAGCCGTTCGAATATTATTTGTAACATAAAAATATTCTAACGCCTTTTCTTCTTTTCTCTTCTTCAGACGTAGCTCTTGGAATGCTGGACCTAGAGCAGAAGGGGGAGGTTGACATGTCCGAGCTAGACATAATGCGGTACAAACTCCGCCAGCAGCAACACGACCAGGATAAGGAGGTACTGCCAACCTGTTTGTTTCTTTTTGTGTTTGTTTTTTATTTTTTTTTTTAAATACCGAGCTGGTGTGTTGAAGGAAGAGTTCTTCCTCATTTCACTCGGACGCAATTCGACTTGCCTTCATGCCGATTTGATATGTTAGGAAAAATATCCTTTTTTATTTCACTCGAACACCATCTTTTATCTATGTTTTCCGAGTAGGTAGGTTGGAAGGGGTTCCTTCTCAACTTTACTTGGATGCTTGCTTCATTTTATCTGACTTAACTTGTTTCTTTCAGGCGGCCACTCCTACTTCCTAGTCGAAGTGAAAGTAGCCGGCATCTGCTTCCAAGGACGACCAGTCGTCTAAAGCTAGGAAGACAACAGCTGCAAAGGCTAAGTCTTCCACCAAGGCGGCCAAGGTCACGCCGTAGACTGCTCCTAAGCAGTCTATAGGAGAGCCACCCTAGTTGTCACCAAGTGGGGTCTCCAAGCCTGTGGATTCGCAATCTAAGGCGGTCCACGATGAGTTCGTCCAAGCCGACGATGGGGGTAAGTCGTCCCCGGCCAAAACGATTGGCAACTCAGCCTTGACTCCGCATGTTGAGGTGGTAGGTAATCTGAGTGGCAGAAAGATGCCTCTCAGTTGGCCGAAGAGCAACACGACCGCACTTTAGGGGAGGGGGATGAACCAATGTGCCCTCCTTCATTCAACCTTCCATCTCCTCCATCTTTCTCGGACGGTAAGTTGAACCTCCGTACGACTATTAACTTATGTTTTTAGGAACTTGCTTGTTCACTCCAACACTTTTTCTTGTTTTGTGCAGACATTGCCTAGGAGATGCATATGAAACTACCCGACCAGTTGCTCATAGGCACTAACCAGAAGGGTATTGACAAGCGCACATTAGGGCGCGCTTTAAGGCATATAAATGGGTGATTTTGGATGTATTTAGGCCCGTTTTGGTCGTTTATTGCCTTGTTACACTCGTTTCCTTCATATTACGTGCTTCACGGGTTTCGGTCTGTTTTTGGTGTGTTAACAGGTATAGTTGACCAAGTTATGTCGAGTCCCGAACCATTGGTGCGTAATCAGGATATTATAGATCCTAGTCCACCAAGCTAAGACTTTTCTGCGGTTCTCAAGGCTTTGAAAGGCAAGTTAAGTAGCAGGCAAGGCAGAACAGTTCACAAATATGACACCTGTTCACTATTTTGCTCATAACTTTCTGTATACAAATGATAATGGATTGATTTAAATTGCATTAGAAAGTAGACTTGAAGAGCTTTCCAACGATATATTGCACGCCTCAAACGGAGCTTTGGATAAGAAGTTGTGACTATTTTAAGAAGACCAAAGTGCCTGCAACCTTCCTGCCTATGCTTGCACGGCCGTGCCAGGCATTAGCACGGCCGTGCCAAATTCAGCACGGC